CTGGGAAAATGAGGTAGGGAGACAGGGCGAGTGTTTGCTCTAGAGCTGAGGAGCCCTATTCTTTGGCCTGCCCAGACAGGTCAGATTTGGTCAAAGACTATTCTGGGACTCGACATTACTGTGTCCTACACGATGATTCTGGAACCACTTCTGTGGGTTGGCCTACATCGGAAAATTTATGTGGGATGTGGGTGGGGTCCTGGGGTATTTTTCTCCTAACACTCAAGACTTTGAGGTGCATCCAACAAGATCTGCCAACCCACTGAGATGGAGAACATTCCTATGAAGACTAAAATTTGGCTAAGATTGAAACTGCCTTTATTGAGCTGTTTCTTTAGCGCCTTTAAAACAGAATTTTCAAGCTCATTTCAGGACTTGTGTCTTTTATAAGAAGCGAAAATTTCAATTACTGCACAAACTTTTATGTATAGGACTACTTAGTGAGGCAAATGAACTTTTAAAATAAAATGAAATTGTTTTATTTATGAAATACTGTATTTTGAAGAACTAAAACAGGAATCCTTTTACAGAACTGTGCAATGTTGTCAGCTGTTAATGCTCATATTTATAAATAGGTCATCTTTGTTTGAAAAGCATACAAGGTTTTCTAACTCCAAATCTTCCCAGCCACAGTATTGCTACATTAAGTAGAACTGTCAAAGATAAAACAGATCAAAATGATTGTCTAGACTGAATGTTAACCCTTTCCTGTAACATTGGTTAATAATATCTCTTTACCTCTTCATACTTACTTGTTTTATAAATTGTTATTAAAAAACTATTATAATATCCTCCTAGGTAGTGAAGAGTTTAAACCATTGATGTTACTTTCTAAATACCCTATGAGGCCTATAACTATATACCTGATTACCTCATGGAAAATTATTTCTGTGCTTGTGAATGGCAGACTCAGTGAACAGACTGTGTTTGGGTCGGGGGTGGCATGCATTAGAAATATTTATCTAAAGTAATTGATTATTATAAATGACTGTTAGGTAACTTTTATTTATCTGAAATGCTGAACAAAAAATATTCTCTTTTGAATTTTTAATTTTTTACTAACAATATTATGTTTATCACTTTATTTTTCTCCTCTTGAATTTTAACATTTTTATGGCCATATTCATTTAGATATTTTTCTAGTATGAGTTACATTAACTGTACAATATCTGATCTTTATTCTGTGGAATGACTTTTCTTTCCTCTGGTCAATTCCTATAAGTTACAACATTGCTTAATTAATGGAACACTCTGTTGGTTTCAGGCATTTAACTTATCAGTCCAGTGATCAGTTTCTAATATTCTAACCATCAATTTTTAGTAGCACCAATATCCCAGTGTATCTGACCAGATTTAGAATTGGGTCTCTCCTGATAACCTTAGCCTTTAATCTCTTCCCCAAATGTGAAGACTGGCATGTTCCTTGGAATCAGAGTGTTCACTAAAAAAATAAATTAAAAAAATACTGTAATAAACCATAAGCATGGATTCTTATTTTCAAATAGCAAAGCGAGCTTATAAGTCAGATGACCACATGTCCCAGTTTACCCAGAACAATCCTGGATCATACCTGTTACTCTGGCATAATTATAAATAGCTCTTCCTTTACTCTCAAAAGTGTCCTGTTTGGGTAATAAATCATCTAGTCACATACTTATATACTATAATCATTTTGTTATAGTAGATTTGGGTTGTTGAAATGTTATTTGACATAGGACCATAAGACAAATATATATACATACACACACACACACACACACACACACACACGTATTTATATATAATATACATATGCATACATATAATTATATATAGTTATATATCCTTGGTCATTTTATTGTATTGAGGTAGTTCTGAGTGTCTAAATGTAGTATATTGAATAAGAAAGCACGTGCTTTGAAGTTAGGAATCATTTGTCTTCTGACCGTTGGCAGATTATAAAACTTTTCTGAACTTTTTATTTCTGTTAAACGGAGATAATAGCAATACCTAACCAATAGAATTATTGTAAAGACTTAAAGGTGATAACATATAAAAATGTTTTATATCTTTAAATTCCTATGTAATTGTGAGTCATTTTTATGCCACACATGTGCTCCTGAAAATTGGATTTAAAATGAATAATTTTATCTAATTTAGGGGAACTTGCTATCTAACAGAGAATAGACAGTCTTTCAGAAGTGTTTTACTGTAATGGGGAGCAGGGATAAGAGTAGCTGGAGATATATGTGGAATTAAGAGGGGCTGAATTTCAACATATTTGTATGCTGAAAAGAGTGATCCAATAGAAAACAAAAGAATAGATGATGCTGGACAGAGGGACATACCCCTTGAGTATGCAAGAAGGCATATGATCTAGAATACAAATGGAAAGATTGGCCTTACATAATCTAAGGAGCACAAATATGTCCCTAGTCGTTTCGCTTAAATTACACTGTTGGCTTTTTTTTTTTTTTTATGTGTAGTAGTGAAATCACGGATCCCAAGTTCACTGAATTTTGGGAAAAATTTTTGTGTAGATACCACCTAGGTTAGCATACAAAACATGTTCATCTCCCCAGAAAATTCTCTCCTGCCCCTTTTTAACCCATCCCACTCCCTGTCCCACCAGGCAACCATTTTCTTTTTTAAAAAAATCTTCATTGTTGAAACTATTATATATGTCCCCCACTGACCCCTTCTAGCCCGCCCCCCCATTTTCTCCCCCTACCCCAGGTCTTCACCATCCTATTATCTTGTCACATGTCTTCATTGCTCCTGGATATATGCTTAGGACTGGAATTGCTGGGTCACATGGTAATATTATGCTTCCATTTTTGAGGAACTGACAAATTTTTTCCCAAGCCGGCTGCAGCATTTTACGTTTCCAATAGCAGTGTGTGAGGAATACATTTTGCCTATACTTGTTATTGTCTGCCATTCTTTGCTGAGAGACTCTGTGCTTGTTGAGGCATATCTTCAACACTCATTCTGCTTACAACTCTGCCTTAGCCTGCATTTCCTGCTTGTGCAGGGCCTCATGCTCAGAGGGTATTGATTAGGGCTTTTTCTGGGCTTGATCGTGCCCATAGTCCTGGGCAATGTACGTGGCATTCTAGATAATCAGGAATATGCAGAACTTTTCAAAACCTTTTATGGCAATCTCATGTCCCCACCAAGAAGATGGAATTTTTAGCAAGATGGTTGTTGATGAGAGAGAAGAATCATACATGAAGCTGAGGTTTCTGGATTTAAAAAGAGAATGATTAGCCCTAACTGGTTTGGCTCAGCGGATAGAGCGTCCGCCTGCGGACTCAAGGGTCCTAGGTTCAATTCCGGTCAAGGGCATGTACCTTGGTTGCGGGCACATCCCCAGTAGGAGGCATGCAAGAGGCAGCTGATGTTTCTCTCTCATTGATGTTTCTAACTCTATCCCTCTCCCCTACTCTCTTTAAAAAATCAATAAAATATATATATAAAAAAAGAGAATGATTAGTATAAGAGTTAAGGACACTAGCACCATAAGTATAACTAAACATTTCTACTGTTCAGAGGGCCAATCAATATTAACATATCAATAGATAAGCAGTTTCTTTCTCCAGGTCTTTTGTTTGTTTGTTTGTTTTTTGTTTTTTACATATGCATAACATTATTTATTTATTTTTTTGGTATTTTTTTTATAGCTTAAAGTATTACAAAGGGTATTACATATGTCTCCCCCCCCACCCCCCCACCCCCCACTTCCAGGTCTTTTATCTAATATTTATTTCAGTGCGCAAAATTTGTTAAGTGTCCCAAAAAGTAATACAGTATAGGTTTATGTTGGCTGGATCCCTGAATTATGAGACTTTAAAAAATTATACCTCCTCTCCACAAAAAAAAAGTCATTGAGAATCTTTTATGCTAGCATATATTCCAGGAAAAAGGCACTGCTAAGATTTGCAACAAAAATAGTAATTCCAGTATGGATCAGTCATAGTTTTTGGCCATAGTAGAGCCCATGTTCACATCTAGTAAAGCAAGAAAAAAAATAAATGCTTACTTATATAGTGCCTTCATCATTTAAGAAGGGTAATACATATTATTTACTGGCCTGGACTCTAGTTTATATGTGCTTGCATTTAAGAAACTAGCCATTTTAAAGAATTAGTGTTTAATAGAGTTCATTTGTCATATTACAGTGAAGTCATACGGTAGTATGTCAATTATGTACAATGATGGAGAGGAAAACGTTACATGAGTAGTTTAAAATCAATTGCTTTTATAAATTATTGAGTAGTTTTTACTTAACTGATTGTATGAAGACACCTCTTATGTGCTGCTTTAAGCTTAGACCTTCTTAGACAGCCACTGCTTCTGCATTAGTTTCTATAGAGGCTTCGAACCACTGCAGCTTGACAGCATCTCTCTTGTAATGCAGGACAGTAGTTAATGTCTAAATTCTTCTTCTTTTGTCCTTTAGACAAGAAGCTCTGAATCCCATTTCATACGGTTTGCTGAAAAGATTGAGCAATAATCATCTAGCAATATATGTTTCTTATTGTAAATTATAATATCACAGCAAGGTAGGGGTGACATGGGGACATGAACTTCCATGTCCTTGACTGCTCCAGGACTTGCTCCATGCTCTTTAATAACTTTCAGTTGTTGCGTGTCTTACTAGGTAGAGTTCATTATTATGTCAATTGAGTATAAAACTTTGTTGTAAGAGATCTTTAAAAAATCATTAAAATTAATTAGATTGAATCATTGACTGTTGAGTATTAGGGAAAAAAATCACAGGATCTGGTTTCTTGTTATATTTTATTCCATCTAATTTAAAAGTCATCATGCTTTCTAAATGGCTTTGTGCTACCTCTAAGTTGTTGTCCTACATGTAATAGGAAAATAAAAGGTTTAATAAACTAGTATGTTAGGTTTATTTTCCATGATGAGGTAAAGATATTTTTATTTGTGAGCATTTTATGCATCACCTTACTTTCAGAATTATTTCTAACTTGTGCTTGTATTTTGTTTTTTAGTGAAAATATTCTCTTTGGAATGGGAAATCCTCTTCTCGACATCACTGCTGTAGTGGATAAGGATTTTCTTGACAAGTAAGTGTTAAACTCTTCCTATGTACTGTGTGAAACATATCTAAGAGAAACTGATGAAAACTCTAGAATTGAATTTACTCTGTAACACCTTTAATTGGAGAAAAACTCAGGTAATTTAAATCTGTTTATTGCAGTTGTACTATCATTATTTATTGAGTGTTTGACCACAATTTTCCCTGGGAAAACTTGGTACATTTGTTCATCCCTATTGTTATTTTCATTTAAACTTTATTTTTTTATTCTTTGTGAGGAAGAAGTATATATGATTTATCTAATGATTTAATTTCCGATATTCAAAATTAAAAAAAATTCCCAAAATTTAAAAAATTAATGTTAGTGGAGCATTTCACCCCAGAACAGCAGAATATACATTCTTTTCATGTGCACATTGAACATTTTCTAGGATAGACACATGTTAGGATACAAAACAAGTCTTAATAAATTTAAAAAGATTGAAATCATCAAGCATCTTCTCTGACCAAAAGGGTATGAAATTAGAAATTAATCGCAAGGAAAAAACTGAAAAACACAAAGACATGGAGACTAAATAACATGTTACTAAACAGTGAATGGGATAACAATGAGATCAAGGAAGAAATCAAAAGCTACCTTGAAACATGAAAATGAGAACACAACAACCCCAAACTTCTGGGACATAGTAAAAGCAGTTTTAATAGTAAAATTCATAGCATTACAGGCCTATCTCAAGGATCAAGAAAAATCTCGCTCTAACCGGTTTGGCTTAGTGGATAGAGCGTCGGCCTGCGGACTGAAGGGTCCCAGGTTCGATTCTGGTCAAGGACATGTACCTTGGTTGTGGGCACATCCCCAGTAGGGCGTATGCAGGAGGCAGCTGATCGATGTTTCTCTCTCATCAATGTTTCTAACTCTCTACCCCTCTTCCTTCCTCTCTGTAAAAAAATCAATAAAATATATTTAAAAAAAAACTCAAACAATCTAACTTTACACTTAAAGAAATTAGGAAAAAAACAACAAATTCCAAAGTGAGTAGAAAGAAGGAAATAATAAAGAATAGAGTAGAAATAAATGAAATAGAGTCCAAAGAAACAATTCAAAAGATCAATGAAACTAAGAGCTGGTTCTTTGAAAAGATAAACAAAATTGGCAAACCTTTAACCAGAGTCATCAAGAAAAATTGAGTGAGGACCCAAATAAATAAAATCAGAAATGAAAGAGTGCTGGGGTCCAACCCCAGCAGGTCCAGGGGTTCCCAAAGGTGTAGACGGAGTTGGCGAAGAAGGAATGACACGGAGACAGCGTTCAGTTGATCAGCAGCCTAGCCAGGATCTCCAGCCAAGTTCTAGTCTGGATCTCCAGAGAAGTTCTGCCGTTTATTGTCTTGTTACATCCGTATTTATACCAGTTGATTTTAATCCTGTCAATTTCTATTACAAAGGTTAGGGCGTTTCTTATCTCCATTCCAGGGAGTAAAAATTATGTAGCTTAAGTATGATTGTTTGTAGTTAAAGTGATTAACTACCCACCTGGCACTTAGTTAAGGAGTTTCATCCCCTCCCTGACTTCAGGGAAAAATTCCTACCTGGGGAAACAACCTTTCTCGGAGAGGTGACCTTGGTTAAAACACACAGCGCTAAGGGGAACAAACATATTAAGAACAGTATGCTATATACGCCAGGTCCCTTGAAACATATGCTGTGCAGATGTTTCTTTCCTGCAGCGACTGTGTCAAGCAGCAAGGATGGACCGGCTTCCGGCAAAAGAGGAGCAATAAAAACTAACACCACAGAAATACAAAGGATTGTAAGAAAAGAACTACAAACATCTATATGCCAACAAATTGGACAATCTGAATGAAAAGGATGAATTCCTAGAAACATACCATCTTCCAAAACCGAATTAGGAAGAATAAAAGAATCTGAATAGACAGATTACAACTAGTGAAATTGAATCAGTAATAAAAAAAACTCCCAACAAATGAAAAGTCTTGGACTGGATGGCTTCACAGGCAAATTTTACCAAACATTCAAAGAACTAACTCCTCTCCTTCTCAAACTATTCCAGAAAATTCAAAAGGAGGGAAGACTCCTAAGCTCATTTTATGAGGCCAGCATTACCTTAATTCCAAAACCAGAAAAAAATACGACAAAGAAAAAAAATTATAAGCCAATATCCCTGATGAACACAAATTCTAAAATCCTAAACAAAATGCTAACAAACCAGATCCAGCAGTACATTAAAAAGATCATACAGCATGATCAAGTGTGATTTATTCTGGGGGTGCAAGGTTGTCACAATATCTATAAATCAGTAAACATGATACATAAACAAAATGGAGGATAAAAATCACATGATCATATCAATAGATGTAGAAAAAGTATTTGACAAAATCCATCACCCATTTTTGATAAAAACCATTGGCATAGTGGAAGTAGAAGGAACATACATCATTCTCAATTGGCAAAAGCTAAAAGCATTTCCTTTAAGACGAGGAACAAGACAAGGATGTCCACTCTTATACAACTGATAAATGAATTCAGTAAAGTAACAGGATACAAAATAAATAGCCAGAAATTGGTTGCACTTTTATATACCAATAATGAACTTATCAGAAAGGGAAATTAAGAATTCTGTCACACTTGTATAATAAAAACCTAGCAATAAATTTAACCAAGGATATAAAAGACCCATATTCAGAAACTTACAAGACACTGAAGAAAGAAATTGCAAAAGATACAAATAAGTGGAAGCATATACCGTGTTCATGGATGGAAAGAATTAACATCATTAAAATGTCCATACTTCCTAAAGCAATCTATAGATTCAACACAATTCCTCTCAAAATACCAATGGTGTATTTTACAGAATTAGAACAAGTATTCCAAAATTTTATGTGGAACCACAAAAGACCTCAGATAACCACAGCAATTCTGAGAAAGAACAATGCTAGAGGAATCATGGTACCTGAAATCCAACTATACTACATGGCCATAGGAATCAAAATAGCATGGTACTTGCATAAAACAGACATATCTATAAAAGACTGAGATCGACTGGTAGATATGACACACACTGACCACCAGGGGGCAGACACTCAATGCAGGAGCTGCTGAGCAACAGCAACTTTGCACAATGCCCTCTTGCACTCTGGGACCCCTTGGGGGATGTTAGACTGCCGGTTTTGGCCTGATACCCGCAGGTCAGGCCGAAGGACCCCACCTGCCGGAGGAACCCCGCTCACTCCGCAGATGTCCTTTGAGCCTCGGTGCTGCCCCAGGTGTGGCGGGCCTTGGAGGTTACCGCAGGAGGTTGGCTCCAGGGTGTGTCTGGTCCATCTTGCTCAGTCCTGCCCCACCGGCCACCTTCTAATTAATTTACTTTCAGTGTGCATGAATCCACACAGTGGGCCGCTAATAGATTAATAAAACAGAATAGAGAATCCATAAATAAGCCTTATGGTCAATTAATATTTGACAAAGGAGACAAGAACATAAAATGGGGTAAACATAGTCTATTCAATAAATGATGTTGGAAAAATTGGACAGGTACATATAAGAAAATGAAATTAGACCATCTTCTTACACCATGCACAAGAATAAACTCAAAATGGATCGAAGAGTTAAATGTAAGGCTCAAAACCATAAAAATCCTAGAAGAAAACATAGGCAGTAAAATTTTGGATATTTTTCCTAGAATTATTTTTTCTAATATACCTTCTCAGGCAAGGGAAAAGAAATAAACGGGACTATATCAGAATAAAAAGTTTTTGCACAGCAAAGAAAACTATCAACTAAAAGAACACACTGAATAGGAGAACATATTCACCAATGATAGATATGATAAGGGGTTCATATCTAAAAATTATAAAGAACTTATAAAACTCAACACCAAAACCCCCCAAACAATCCAATTAAGAAATGGGTAAAGGACCTGAATAGACCCTTCTCCAAAGAGGACATAGAGATGGCCAATAGACATATGAGAAGATACTCAACATCACTAATCATCAGAGAAATACAGAATTAAAGCCACACTGAGATACTACCTCGCACTTGTGAGGATGGCTGTTAGCAATAATTCAACAAACAAGTGTTGGGGATAGCATGGTGAAAAGGAAACCTCCATGCACTGTTGGTGGGAATGTAGATTAGTGCAGACACTATCGAAAACAGTATGAAGGTTTCTCAAAAAATTAAAAATGGAACTGCCTTATGACAGAGCAATTCAACTTATGGGTATATATCTGAAGAAATCCAAAACACTAATTCAAAAGACTGTATGCATCCCTATGTTCATTGCAGCATTATTTACATTAGCTAAGGTATGGAAGTAACCCAGGCGCCCATCAATAGATGAGTGAATAAAAAAGCTGTGCTATATATATATATATATACAATGGAATATTACTTGGCCATAAAAAAGAAGGAAATATTATCATTTGTGACAGCATGGCTGTACCTGGAGAGCATTATACTATGTGAAATAAGTCAGAGAAAAACAAGTGCCGTGTGATTTCACTTACATGTGGACTGTAAAGAACAAAATAAATGAACAAAACAGAAACTGACTCATAGATACTGAGGACAGACTGATGGTTATCAGCGTGGATGGGATTTGGGGGCCTGGACGAAAAGGTGAAGGGATAAAGAAGTACAAATTGGTGGTTACCGAATAGTCATGGAGATATAAAGTATAGCACAGGAAATACAGTTAATATTGCAATAACTATGTATGGTGTCAGGTGGGTACTTGAAATATCAGGGCATCACTCTAAAAGGATATGATCGTCTAACCATCATTCTGTACACCTGAAACTAAAACAAAATAATATTGAATGTAAACTGTAATTGAAAAATAAAATAAAAAAAGAATGAAGCCAGACAAAAAGAATACATAGTGTATGAATCTATTTATGAGACTATATGAAATTCATTTTAATCTATACAGTAATAAAACAGGTAATTGGTTTCACATGCATTGATCAGGATGTGGTGGAGGGTGGGAAGGAGAGATTGCAAAGG